CTCTCCATCATGAGTAATAACGTTAAAGTCTCCTCCAACTATCCAAGGGTCCTCCATATCGAGGGAGATGTGGTGAAGACCCGTTTTAGGGTTTAGGGTTTAGGGTTTAGGGTTTTGGGTTTTGGGTTTAGGGTTTAGGGTTTTGGGTTTTGGGTTTAGGGTTTAGGGTTTAGGGTTTAGGGTTTTTTTTTTAGTAAAGACATCCACACATCCTTAATGACTTTTTAGGGTCCACCAAGGAAGGTCGATGGGGGTTAAGGGTTCCCCAACCATGTTTATTTCATAAAAATCAAGAGTACAGGAAAGGAGGGGGGCATAAACCTGACCTCCAAAAAGCAACAGTGCAACAAATGAAAAATTAAAAATGAACAAAGTAAATGAGGAAGTACTACTCCCTTGTACACGAAAAATGAAAAAATGATTGCCTAAACTACGAACTTCTAAAGCTGGGCAATCCATATCTGTCGATCTGCACCAATGCCCTAATTTGTCGGGGCAGGTCAAGTGGTCCATATTCTTGGTAATGCTGGTGATCCCAACCCTCTGAAGCAAGAGAATCTGCAACCTGGTTACCTTCTCTGTAGATATGAGAAACTGTGTCTCTGTCAAGGCAAATGACGTCTCTGATCTGTCTTAGAATACCCTGAATCGTCCATGGTCCTCCACCTTTGATGATGCAGTGAATGGCCAGCATTGAATCTACCTCAATCCAAATAGCTGATATCCCAAGTCCTCTGGCCAATAGAAGCCCATCTAGTGTGGCTCTGAGCTCAGCCTCCAAAATGAAACATGGCCCATACGATGCTGAGAATGCCCTGATACAGTATCCTACGTGGTCCCTAATGATGCCTCCACCACTTGCAAATCCATCTTTGACGCATACATCAGTATTGATCTTGTAGGATCCAATAGGTGTAGTGCGCCAAACAACCATAATAGGTGGTGGTGGGAGAGGACGGGTCAAAGAAATTCCAAAAAAGGATGCAAGTGTCACATCTCTTCGCCAATGCTCAACTCGGAATAGTCCTCCCATATGAAGGAAGGAGATCATGCGGTAGACCCTCCAAATAATACGTCTGGCCACCATACGAATACCTCTATGCTTCGCATCATTCCTCTCAGTCCATAGAAACCAAAATACCAGTAGAGGAATGATAATACGAATGTGTCCACGACAAACGTGCTGTCCAGAATACCGCCATCTCTAGAACCTCTGTCTGACCCCCTCTCCTGAAGTCATAGGTATCTGAAAGATGTCTCCAAAGTGCTGCCATACCTGGTCGAAGATGCTGCTGCTCGTGAAAATATGATT